TTTTCAAAATTTCTACAGAAAGCATGAATTTTCAATAATGAAAAAACAAAATATTAAAATGTATTGACAAAATACAACATGTCAGTGAGAAAACAAACTGAAATATTGGGAATTAGATTTTATGTGAATTTAAAGTCTGCCATTGTAACCTGGCAGGTATTTCCAGTCCATGATTGCTCTGGTATATTTGAGTAACGTTCATCCTCCTCTTTGGCATTTTAACTAGAAACTTCAATGCTTTTGGCTCTCCTTGTTTGTGATAGCTATGTACTATAAAGTTACCACAAACACTGGATTAGTAATTACTGAACCATTCTTTCTAGGGTAAATTTAGGGTTAGTTTTCTGCAAGTCTTCAGGCACATTTGTCAACTGATTAATACATAACCATATTTTGTATATATTTCTCTTCAAAAAATAGATAACTACTCAATATTATATATATATATATATATGTATGTATGTATATTTGCTTTGTTTAAATTGAACTGATGGCCAATAGCACCAATAGCACTATAACCTTTGCCCAAATGAAGACTGTCTAACCAAAGTATTTCCTTTAGGAGGCATAGCAAAGTCTTCTTATGCTTACATTAAATAGCATGTCAACACTTCACATACAGGCCATTTTAAACAGTAGTATTACCAGTAGAAAGTGCAAAAATGTGACAACATGGTACTAAATAGGCCACACTAATCATACTTATTTACAGCATAAAAACTGAGAAAAGAGGATGAAACATCCTTTTTTGACTTCAGTTGGGAACACATGCATTGGGTGACTCTGGGTTTTTGTTACCTCATGAATGTCTCCAATAACTCTGAAAGTACCATGGGTATTTGTTTTTGGGGTCACAAATGATTTTGAGCTAGTAGGCAAATTTACAAATACAGAATTGTGAATAATGAGGGTCAAACTGTATAAGCTTTCCCAATGAAAACTACAAAGCTTTTTACTTTTATGTTATACTTTTAGTGGTTTAATCATGATAATAGAAATAAGGGTAGAAGGGGATAGGCTTAAAGAGTTTTGAAGTGCTTGTTAGAAAAAGCCTAGACTGCTGTGAATGAAATTTTAAAGGTGATTCTGTTGAGGACTCAGAAAGAAAAAAAGGAGATATAGAAAAAGCATCTCTCAAAGTACACCTAAGTAACCCATGACAATGTGTTAGTAAAACTGTGGACAATAAAGAATATCATAATGATGTTTAAGAAATGGAGCACACATTTTTGGACAGTGGGGAAAAAACTGTTATGAAGTGGCAAAGAATTTGGCTGAATTGTGTTCATGTTGTAGTGTTTCTTAGAAAGTAGAATTTACAAGTGTTGACATTGAAATTTAAACTAGGCATGATGGTAAACACCTGTAATCCCAACATCTGGGAGGCTGAAGCAAAGGATCACCATGAGTTTGAAGCCAGCCTGAGTTACATAGTAGGTTCAAGCCTAGTCTGAACTACATAGGAGGCTCCTGTCTTTAAAAAAAGAAAAAAAGAGAGGAGAGTAACTTTAAACTAGGCATTGTGGTGCATGCCTGTAATCCTAGAATTCTGGGAAGCTAAGGCAGAAAAATCACAAGTTCAAGCCCAGATTGGGCAATTTAGTGATTCAGTGAGACCCTGTCTCAAAACAAAATAAAACAATTTAGAGACACTGCTCAATCCAGAGCAATACTCAGTACTGCAAAAAGAGAAATTGGAAAGTTGACTGCAGAGATTTTTAATCAAGGTGTTGAAGGTACAGCTTGACTCTCCCTATTAGTAAAATCCAAGGAGAAAAATTACTCGAAGACAATTATTAAGCAAAAGGGATAAAGAACTTAAAAGATCCTCAGCCTACTCATTTCACAAAAATTGTGAACACTAAGGATGTGGTCAAGACGCCATTTGATAAACAGGTTAGTATGTGTAAAGCCACAAACTTAATCACCTAGCAGGAAGACTTGTCAGTTTGAACTTAAGAGGAAGGAGAGAGAAAGAAATGGAAGAAGAGTCACATTTCTTGAGTTTGTGAATATGTACTGTTCTTCAAAACAAGAGAAGGATGGTCCTCAAAGTAATTTAGAGATCAAGGCTGCCTCTTTAGTTTCAAAATGGAGGAAAGAGGCATCATCTTGCTTTCAGTAGGCCAAGTGGCTTTCACCCTGATTGTAGGGGTCCAGCACCTGCCTAGCAAAGTGGATTTTCAGGGCAGAGCCTTAAACCAGTGAGTATTATTCTTGAGCCTTTATGTCTTATAGAATTCACCTTGTGGGAGCTGGGGATTAAGCTCGGTGGTGTAAGTGCCTGCCTGGCAAATGTGAAGTCATGAGTTCAATCCCTGGTACCAAAAAAAAAAGGGATTTGCCTTGTGGATTAGACACTCTTGGGATCCCTTTTCTTCTTTCCCATTTCTCCCTTTTGGAATGGAAATATCTATCCCTTGTATGGCTTATTTTATTTTTGAAGCCCATAGCTAGTTTGGTTTCATAGGTTCACAACTAGAGAAGGGTTTGCTTCAGGGTGAACCATTTCTTGAGTCTCAATCATATCTGATTCAGACGATACTCAGGTGACACTATGGATTTTTCAACTTTGGAACTGATAGTAGAATGAGTTAAGACTTTGGGGGCTGTTAGAACATGATGAATCTCACGTGTAAGAAGGGCATGAGTTTTGTGAGACCAGGGATAGAATGCTATTGACTGAATGTTTGTGTCCCCCAAATTCATATGTTAAAATCCAGTGTGGTGGTATTAGGCCTTTGATAGCTGATTACAGCATGAGAGCTGAACCCTCATAAATGATACCATTCTCATTATAAAAGAGAACCCAGAGAACTCCCTTGGCCTTTCTGCCTTATATGGTTGCAGTGACAAGATGTCAATTTTTAAACCAGAAAGTGGACACACAGCAGATACCAAATTTGCTGGTGTGCTAATGTGAGATTTCCCGGCCTCCAGAAGTAGGAAAAATAAAAATCTACTGTTTGTATGCCACCCCACCTGAGATGTTTTGTTGTAACCCAAATGGATTAAGACAAGCATTACTCTACCTATATTTTTATTATAGTATTATTGTCTTGAATTATAAACATGCAAATTTATGTTCATACACTACAGATATACACAGAAGTTAAATTTATTTTTGGAAACTAGAAGGATAGAGATATTTGGACTAATTCATAGAATCATTAATAAAAGACTTATTTCTAAAATATATTATTTAAAAAATAAAAATTTTAAAACTTCAGAAAATATATTTCAATGGTTAGCTTATCATTTGACTGCTGTTTATCATCCTATGTCATAGGGAGTTTGAAAAGTAATTTCAGTTTTCAAGATATTTTATTTACTGCATCTTCATAATGCATGTTATATTCATGTTCATACTGATAGAAAAATAAAGTTATTTTTAAACAAAGTCTTGTATTAAAATGCTATATATCTCTAGAACAAAAACATCCTTGAAAGAGTGCTGCTTAACTCCCAGCAGGTGATGCAGTCCCTTTTCTCCATGTGTTTAACTGGCTACGGTACCAGATGGTTGCTGCAGTTGATTTTTGTTTTATTCATGTTGCTTTTTCTGAAGGGCAGGGTTATGTTTGTTGTGCCAAGTTCTTAAAAAGCAAGAAGCCTTGCCAATAGGTTTGTTGAGTTCCCTGGGGATGTCACAAAGGAGAGGAGATTTGTAAATCAGTGATAATCAAGCTGCTGCAACCCTTTGGAAGACTGGTGTGTGCCCTGCAGAGCTGGGAATTGTTGATGTACATCTTTGCTGGCTGTCAGGAAGATAAGAACAAAATGTATTCCAAAACCAAAGATAAGATAATCTAGGCATCTGTTGGGTGGCGCCCAGACACTATTTTATTTATCTAGGAATTTTCTCTGTGCTTGTGCTTAGGAAAGTGATGAGTCATTCAGACAGTATAAAGATGTATACTTTCTTTGGTGTACTGTCAGGAACCTGTACAGACAAGCACCCACATGTCCCTCCTGTCTCCAGCTTCTTAGGTGATCTCTATTGACAGATCACAAACTAGTAAAAGGGAGGAAAAAGGTAGATTATAAGGAAAGAACCCCTCATAGTTGAAAGTAGTATCTAGTTTAAGGGTTAGAATTGGACTGTGGTTTCAGTTTCATCTTTACTCCACTTTTGATAATTTTCTGCTCATGAAGCTTCTGTGACACAAGGGAGTTGGAAAAGATTTTCTCGTCAGTTCCTCACATCTCTCATGTTTTATCATTTTTGATTCTCTGTTGAAGCTGCTACCAAAGTTTTTATTATCCTTTTAAGTGATAAATTCTATCAGTGAAGACCATTGCAGATTGTGTTTATTACTAGGCAACTACCGCAGTGCACAGTGGTCTTCACTGATGGATACTTAAATTTAATACATAGTAAGATTTAGCATTCTGTGTCATGCTTGGAGTGGAAGAGGGGCAGGGAGAAAAGGGGAAATAAAATGTATTAAGATGTGTTATACGTACCAGCTCCCCACAATGAATACACTATAAACATAACTAATAAAAAAATTTTAAATAATTTTTAAAGAGAGATATCCTTTCAGAGTAGCTAGCTGCTGATATCATTTCTAAAATTCTAAATATGGATTAAAATGACTCTCAAATATGTTGTTGGAATGAACTTTTAAGAAAAGTTCTGAGAAACCAAGAATTGAGGTTGGTAGTTTGTTTTTCCTAGTGATGTTTTGTGGCTGCATACATTAAAAACTTGTGCCAATAGAAAAATGATTATTTTATTTAACTTACAGCTTTATAGTAAGCACCATGGATTGATGAATTGGTTAGGAGGCCTTTGACTTCATTTAGCAGAGCTTCCAACTCAAGCTGGCTTGAGATTTTCCTCATTGGCTTAAAATAGTCCCTACTCTTTCTGGCCCCAATCATTCAGGCTAATCAGGTCTTCACTGGAAAAGATCATGAGACCAAAATAGAAACTGAGTGGGAATCCAGTATCCATGACTACTGCCCTCTATATTTGCCTCTTTTTTTCCCTTCAGTGAAGATTATGGAAAAAACTTTAAGGATATTAAAAATCTCATCAATAACACCTTCATTCGTACTGAATTTGGCATGGCAATTGGTCCTGAGAATTCTGGAAAGGTGAGACTCCTATACACGGAAAACTGATGTTCAGTGGCACATGTAGTACAGCTAGATGTTATTCTTGAATTATTCAGTGATGCACAGTATTCTATTTTAGTTTATAGTATTGCTATATTTGAAAATTAAGTATAGTTTATTTAATACTGAACACAAAAGAATGGAATTCAGCACATAGATTTCTGTTTTTACTCCCTGGCCAAAATGTACCAAAATCCTTCATACTTATGAAATAGTTGTTTAGCATTACAATATGTAGTCCTGCAACAACATTTTAGTCTTCTGCAAAATTGACCAGCCTCAGAATTGCAAGTATGATGTCCTAGCTTAATTCAGCATGGCACATTTTGGTAAGACTAAGATTTGAGGAGTAGAATGAAACAACTAATCTGTATTTATAACTCTTCTTACTTTTGGAACTAAAATATTCATGATTGTTATCTGGTAAAAATGGTACAAGAACTTTCTGTGCTAAATCTGACCTTTCGTCTTCTTGATCAGGTGTATTAACAGCAGAGGTATCTGGAGGAAGTCACAGAGAAAGAATCTTTAGGTCATCAGATTTTGCAAATAACTTCGTGCAAACAGATCTCCCTTTTCATCCTCTGACTCAGATGATGTGTATCCCTCATAATTCTGATTACCTTTTAGCTCTCAGCACTGAAGTATGTCTCGTTGAAGAATTTGGCTTATAGTCCCAAAATGTATTGTCTCAAAAGGGTTCTAGGGACTGGAGATTTAGCTCAGCAGTATAAGCGCCTGCCTTGCAAGCATGTGGTCATGAGTTCAATCCCTGATACTGATTTAAAAACAAAAGGATTCTATAGATAATGCTTTTATATTGGACTTCTTTCTGTTCTCCTTACACAAGAAGTATGTATTTTTTTCATCTTTTTCCCACTTGGTTAAAGTTATAATTTCTGTATGCCATCTGTTCCAGATAATTGTGATGTATAGTTGCCATAATTATTCATGTAAATAAATGTGTGCTGTTGGAGTAAGGAGGTATAAAATAGTTAAGGTACAAGTATAAATTGTCAAATTGCTAATATTGTTACTGTTCCTTTCCCATGATCAAGCAATCTTTATTTTTTTCTTTTCTGTGAATTTCTTAGTATATATAAAACCATGCCGATTTCTGTATTAGATAACTAAAATCTCAAATCCCTGCACTTCTTACCACATTCCTGACCCTTCCCCCAGAGACCACTGTCCCTGCGAAGCCATCCTGCCTTTCTGAAAGTTCTTTAAGGAGCACAGTAGTTTTTCGTTTCCTGGAGGATCAGTCTCCTGTCCTGGAGTTAGGGGCCCATGGCTACATGGCCAGATTGTGATAATCACAACTGCCTTTGTGTTTATGTGGCTTTTCTCTTCAAAGTTCTTCATATGGTCTTCCTTTGTATGAAATGCCTGAGAAGCTTGGTGACCTACAATTCTCCAGGTTCCAATTTAAATATAACAAATTGGTCACTTCTTTGTAGAGCAGCTATGTTTTTAACAAGCTCCCGAAGTGGGACTGTGCTCTAAAATTTGAAAACCATTGCTGTGCAGACTGTTCTGGGAACAGAAACAAGACCACCAAATGTGGGCCAGTTAGCCTAAGCAAATGTGGCAGAGGGAAGGCATCAGAAGAGAGGTCCTGGTACTGGGCCTTCTATAGGAAGATGTTTGAGTAGAGGTATGGCTGGGGACACTGCAACAGGTCCATAAAAGTACGGAGTATGGAAAGATGAACATACTACTCCTGTAGTATAGTAGGGTACAAATAGAAAGGGACGTGTAAAAATGTAGGAGATTGGTCATTCTTATTTTAGGAAAGGAAATTGTTCTGGATGATAAAGAGGGAGTTATTCTTTCAAACGTCAAGTGGATATGATACAAAGTAAATGAAAATGAAATTCCCAAACTAGATGAGGGGAAAAAAGGAAATCATAAAACATAAAAAGTCATTGGAATAAAAAAGGAACTGAAAATCATTCAGTATGGTGAGACATTAAGAGGTTAACAAAGCACCCTCTACATTTTACTTGACTTTTCCACCTTAGTTAATAAAATGATTGTCCCACTCATATACAACAGAGTTGAGGCCGTGGTGGAGAATCACCAAAGAAATATTACAGATTACAACTTTATCTTAAATGACTAAGTTTCTTCTGCAAGAAGTAAACCCATTGCTTGTCATGCCAATGGAGTTTTGTGGATAAGATGAATGAGCAGTTAGTGGAATTGACAGGAAAAAAAGCAAAATATAGAAACCTTCCTTCTCTAGAGAAATCAGAGGCCAAAAGATACATAGGGACTATGGAGAGTTCAAGGGAGACATTTGGGTTAAGATTTGTCTCAATTATAACTAGTCAAATGAGCTACCACATTTGTGAGTAATTAATGTGCCTTCTGGTAATGCATCAAATCTGATCTCTGAAGCCAAAGCACTGCTCTATAGCTCAGAGTTTATGTTGCTAGACACACTTCTTATTCTACGTGTTTGATCTGTGCTCTATTTCAGCCCCTAAAATCTCCCTAAATAGTACAGTATAAGGAGAAACCCAAGAATAACAAATCACACTATATGAGACATCAAGACTAAGATATATCCTTTCAAAACTTCCAAGGAAGGTCCATGACAAGAATCCAGTACTGGGCAACACACTTGAGGAATTTTTGCATCTCTCTCACAGAACAGCTCTTTTTCACTCAGTAAATATATTGTTCTTAACCTCCATTTGGTCTAAAATTTACTCTTCTATTTCAGAGAACATTAACTCAATACTGGACACCTAGTAGGCTGAGAGTTTGTTTCTCTTATATCATCTGAAGTTCTTCTACTTAGATCACTAAATGGAAGTAATAGTTTCTTTTTATTTCACAAATTCTGGACTCATTTTAATTTAGGTAACAAAAGAATTCACTTGAAGTGTTTCCTCTGTCCTCCCTGAGAAATTCTTTAGTAGAACCACAGCTTAGATTTTTTTTTTAAAAAATGGACCATTGTTCCAATTCTGCCACTTTTATTACATTGATCTTGGCAAGTACCTTAGCAAATTTTGTTAAGATCTTTTCCCATTGCTTATAATTGATTATGTTTTGTCTTGTATATTGTTTTGTTAAAATGAAGATAAATCTAAAGTAAAACATGGAAAGGTTAAAAGGTTATGATACTCTAATGGGACATTTTCATTCCTGTTTTGTTGTTCTGTGCATGTTGCACTTGAACTAGTTACGAACTTTACTGGTATTCTTTGCTTGATTTTATTTAAACAATAGTGACAGAGAGACTAATGCTAGAACATCCCTAGCAGAATTTAATGTAAACTTCTGTAAAATGGGTCTTCTTAAATAAAATCTAACTCACACTTAGCAAATATACATGCCTGTAAAATCAAACATGGACTTCCATACTCCTGTAAAATGACACAATATGACTGTTTTCAATATCCAGAAGGCAAGTTTCACTGGAACAGAATGTCTAATCCTCCTCTGCACTCCAGAGAAAATCACAAGCTGTTCTGGTTCAGTTTCCTTTCTCTTGCCTTCTAATCTTTCCCCCATCACTTTTTACTTTCCTTTTGAGAGACATGTAAATTTGAAATCAAAGTACATCTAGATTGTTCCAACTTTTTCCTCCTACTAGGGTAAGCCCATAAAAATGAGAATTTGCTAATTCTGAAGACAGGGAAATCATCCTAGATTGGGGATACATACTGCATCTCTGGGTCCAAAGAAACATTGAAATTTTGTCTGTCCAGGAAAACAAACGTAATGGCTGTGTCCTTACAGTGCTGGGTGCATGTCTCCCATGGGTGGCTGAAACTGAGACATAGAAGAAAGAACTGATTTCTGGGTAAAATAAAAAAGTGCTATTTCCCGAAACACCACACTTAATTGACTAATAAGTGTTTAGCCTAAGGGAAGCCCTCAACTTTTCATTCATGTGTATAGAAAAATTCTTTGATAATAAGTTGTGGAAACTAAGCAATTATATTAGTTTGAATTATCAGCTATTCAATAATACCTTCTACCTGCTTAGATAATTTATGAGATGCATTGTTAAAACATACTTCCTTAGATCCTGATTCGTTAGACGGCCAAATTACCCTTAAAGATAAGTTATTACCTATTCATCCTAATATATTGGAAAAAACTGCAAAAGGTGTTTTTTGCTCTAGAGACTTCATTTGATACTTAGTAAATATTGCCTCCTCAACACCTATAATGAGAAGACCAAAGGGAGCAGGAGAAAGCAGCTGTTTTTGTCATGGTACTAAGAGAAATAGACCCTAAGTCTGATTCTTGGGGGTCCTAGAAGAGCTCAGTAACTACATTCACCTGCTACTGCTGCCACAAGCCAGGACACCTTAAGAGTGGCTGCCATAAGAAGAACCCTGGGTCATACCCTAACTACAAAGGTGACCAGTGGAGGTCAGACAGCCTTCTGAGGCCAAGACCCCAGATTTCAGACACATCCTATCAACTGGTCCAGAAAGACTGAAAGGCCTTAGGGCACTCTGCCTTCTCCTTCTGGCCAGACTGTCATCTTGATAGAAAATTCCTAGATGAACATGAATGTAGAGAAAAAAGAAACTAGCCAATTTCCAGTCATGATCTTTCTCTTCAATCTTGACCTTCCTTCCAGTCAACACGTCTCTGTAAAAGGAGTCATTGGAGAGGAGGTAATTTGCTATTTTTCACACCCCTCCAGCTATAACTGGGATGACTTTCTTTTTACCCATTTATTTTTTATTATGCCTGAAAGTCTGGTTCCCCTCTTAAAGAGAGATAGTTTATCTATCTTAAATACTGTAATATATATGAACTCAGGTCAGGTACGCTGCTTTCTTCTTGTGGAGACAACAATAGATTCTGAAACATGGGCAGCTAAAGGTAAAACAGGTAGGTCAATAAGAACTTCTCCAGGACAGATACATCTCAGAGATTCTACTATTTTTTCTCACCAAAGATAATATCCGTTAAGACCCAATGTTGAAAGGATTACTACCTATAATTTATA